CTTTCTGGAGAGTGCTGCTCACATGATTTGAGTTTCTAGTGTCAAGCCCAGGAAGTGCACACACTGAGTGGGGTCCAGATAACTATTTTTCAAGTTCATTGTTAGTCCCAATTCAAAGGTGATGTGAGACCATGGATGTGTGTGCCAAAGCTTGGCTTTGTGACACTGCACATTAGCCAATCGTCTAAGTAGTTCAGGTTCCTGACTCCTGCTTGGCAAAGGGGGCTAGCGCTGCGCTTATGCACTTTGTGAAAGTGCGAGGGGTGAGCGAAAGGCCGAAGGGTAGAACGGGAAACTAAAAAAGACATTTTTCGACGGCAAATCAGGTATTTTCTGTGTGCTGGGGATATGAAAGTATACCAATGTGGTGAACCAATCGCCTGGTTTACTGACTGAAGGATGGTTTTGACTGGAAGCATTTTGAAGGGAAGTGCTGAAAGATGACGATTCAGGCACCTTAGGTCCAAACGGAGGCCTCAGCCCCTTTTATTGCAAAAGAAAATTGATTGATTAGAACCCGCAGTTTTGTTGCACTGGTTCTACCTCTTCGATTTTATGCTTTTCTAGGAGCAAGGAGATTTCTGAGCAGTGTTTGCTTTAGAGCAGGGTTGCGAGCTATTGTTTTCAAGACACCCCTAAAGCGTGGGGGTCGATGACAAAATTGTAGTGAGTAGCCTTGTGTTAGAGTGCATAAAACACCCATTTGTTGGCTGTTGACCTTTTCCAGCTGAAACGGTGTTGCGCTAGAGAGTCGGTCCTGGCTCTGCGTGCTGTGGTGCAGGGGGGACACGGCCTGCATATGGTGCGCCTCTGCCTCTTGGGCGAAGCTGCGCTCCACCTTTTCGGTAGGGCTGAGAGGGTATTTTCCTCTACACACACCCGTCGCTATGGGCGGGCCATCGGGGTCCGGGCCCGCCCCCAAAAATGCTTGTGCCCCCCCCCCACTTGAGGGAATGTATTATTAAATATACGTACTGTAGGCTAATAATAATTGTGCCCTGCCATCCCATGCATTTCATATGCCCCCCTTAAGACTGAGGTCTGGCGATGGGTCTGCCTCCACAGCAGGTCCAGTGTGTCTGGGCCTGGTTTCGTTGCATCCCAGTTGGGGCCCTGGGACGGGAGTAATGGTTTGCTGCTGATGCATTCCAGGCTTTGGAATGAGGCGCTGAAGCTCCATCTGTGCTTCTCTGTCCTCCTTAGACACTTGGAGGTGGGGCGCTGCTGGGCCAAAAGTCTGTCCAGGTGATATGGGTACACCTAGGAGTGGAACCCTCTCTTTGTCAGGGAGCTTGGACTGCGCTTACCATAGGTGGTGCCATACAACACACAGTATTGCCAAAGATTTCCCAACCATCTGATCATTGCCCTGAAGGCATTGGATGAGTAGGTCTTTAACTGTATACAGTTTGTTCATGGTCTCAGCATCATAGTTTGCGGAGAGGCGGTCCTGCAGCTCCTTCTGATAGAAGGCCGGTATCGCTGCTGAATTGCTAAGCCTAGCGGCTGAAGCAGTGCTGTCATGTGTCCTGCATAGGAAGCGATCCGATGCCCTGCACTGTTTGTTAGGCAGCTCTTGGTCTGAACTGTGACGGAGAGAAGCAGGCAGAACAAGTGAAGCAAATGATTTGTCCATTCGGGGGAAATGGCCAAAGTCATTCGCATCTGCACAATGAACTGTAGCTAAGTGAGTGGATATGCTTGGCATGGCAGTGGTTCTGTCATTTGGCGTGCTCCAAGTACATTGGAGCTCACTCACAAAGTATTTGAACAATGGGATGGATGTCTCAGTCTTTGAAGAACTGAATTAATCAAACTTGGATATGGATGGCATGGCAGTAGGTGCATGCTCCACATTGAGGTTTCTGTTTACCCTCTCAAAGATTTCAGACAAGTATATTTTCTGGTCAACCATCACTGCCAGGCCGGAAGGCTGGGACTAGACGATGCTAGAGCTGTGGTGCATAGCATCATCATCATCAGATTGCTCATAGTCTGTGTCATAAGAGTGGGAGGCTCTTGTGGACAGTACGTCAGTGTCATTCACTTTAACAACCACGCTCCATTCAGAGGTAGGGGTTGGTACCGGTGGGGGAAGCCTAGCTAGGATGTGCTCGAGGGCAGACTCAATGGTTGCCATAACACTGTCCAGGGACTTAATCTCCTTGCGCATCTCAGTGCGTCAAGATCTGTGCCCAGGCGAGGATGAGTTATGGCGTTTATTGGGCAGTGGATCATGAGGGGAGTGAGACCAGTCATTAGACTTGGAGTGTTTGGAATGATCATTGATCTGTGTGGCAGACTCATCTGATGAGAATCCGGAGGCTCCGCCCCCAAAGCGAGCAAGTCCAGATTTCAATGCTCTCAGTTTGAATTCCTGACGGTGAGTGCAAGAGCTGCTACTCTGTGCAGCTGCTTGAGCATATTCAGCTCCCAGGCAAATAACACAAAGTGTGTGCTCATCTGAGGCTGGGAGTTATCACACTGCTGACAGGGGTGGAACCACATCCTGTGGACAGCACTGAATCAGTGTGCAAAGAACTAGCTAGCTAACACAAGGATGGACATGCCTGTACAAAAAGCAATCAAGTTATCTAGTTGAAGAATCATATAAAAGTAATCTGAAGGTGATTAATAGCAATCTCATAATGTTAAACAAACGTGAGAGTGAAGTAATAGACAGTATGTCACGCCACACAGCCTTTTATAGTGACAGGTCACATGGGTACAGTAAGGGTGTGGCGTGACTGTAAACATCTTCGATATTAAGCATCTCAATCACATCGCGTGAAGGGGAAGGAGTTCCCATAGGTCATTTGGTGACCCGCTACGAAAACTAGATAGAACACCATCGTGTTTGAGTCTCACCTTTCCATAGAGTGGTTATATTAGTTTGTAGGCCACACCGTTCAGACGTTAGACGTTTGTGTGAGAAGACCGATTTTCGGGATGTCTCCTGGTCTGTAAACAGCCGAAGATGAGAAAGGCCGACATAATCAGATATCTCTAGCTTAAACGGATGGAATTTGTATTATGTTAATTTTTCTAGAGTCTATGTTCTATACGATGCACTACTTTTGACCAGGGTCCATAGAGCTCTATTAAAAAGTATTGCACCATATTGGGAATAGGGTGCCATTTGGGCTGCACACTCTCAGTATAAAGACTCTTTAGAGCTCACTGTGAACTGGTCAGTCAATAAAAGACAAGAGGATTCAGCCCATTCACCATAGACACGCCACACATTAAATGTACACACTTGCATATGACATCACCAACAGACAACGCATGACACAGTGGTGCTCCACTTGATTCAGTTCTCCCTTTTTATTATGTGAAATAGTTTTTTTCTATATAAACATATAAAACAAATCTTGGAAGATCCATTAAATACAGCATATCTGTACATGTGGTTTTGTACACAGGTTTTTTTCTGCAGTGATTAGCGTGTTTAGATTAAATCCACAAACATTACTAGCTTGGCTTTGGAAGAGGAGGGTGGAGGTAGTCACCTAAACTAGCTTTGCTTTGGAAGAGGAAGGGGGAGGAAGTCACCCAGACTAGCTTTGCTTTGGAAGAGGAAGGGGGAGGAAGTCACCCAGACTAGCTTTGCTTTGGAAGAGGAGGGTGGAGGGAGTCACCCAGACTAGCTTGGCTTTGGAAGAGGAGGGTGGAGGGAGTCACCCAGACTAGCTTGGCTTTGGAAGAGGAGGGTGGAGGGAGTCACCCAGACTAGCTTGGCTTTGGAAGAGGAGGGTGGAGGGAGTCACCCAGACTAGCTTGGCTTTGGAAGAGGAGGGTGGAGGGAGTCACCCAGACTAGCTTGGCTTTGGAAGAGGAGGGTGGAGGGAGTCACCCAGACAAGAGAAACAGTAGAACAGCAATAATGGCGTTATCACACTTTAATGGCTCTTCATCAGACTCTTAAAGTGGCATTCAAAATGTATCCTCAACTAACTTCAGTTCAGGAACACAGGATTCTTTCACAGTTAAACAGATTCAGCATTGCATGCGTTGTTAAGATAAAATGCATGTTTGTTTGCATACACCACCTGACTTCCTGTCCAACAGCCTGTTGAAACTCAAACTTCCAAAAGGTAGGAGAGACTAGGGAGAAAAGTAGTGTATTTTTCACCTCCAGAAAGCTAGAAAATAAGCTCCAGATCATAGGGTCCATTCCTGTCCTGTTCTTTCTCCTACCTCCTGTGTTACAGTGCGATTCACATACATGAACAAAACTTAGTTGTGCTTGTTATTATTCCACATAAGACACAATGTGGTGCTAATGTGTTGAAGGAAGGTCCTCTTGCTTGGACACAGTCTGCATGCTTGCAGTCATCTAGAGATGAATGAGACACGCTTTTAGGACCCTAATTAGCCATGCCCCTTAAATCAAAGCAGCCAGCGTCATTCTTAGTCTCTAGAAATGAGGGTTCAATTAGAGGCGAGGAGGATTCTGAAATGCTTGTATGCATGAAAGACTAAATTAATTACATTTATTTTTTTCCCTTTTTTCTTCTTCAGGAGAATTGGTGGGGGAAATGATTTGGTAACATTTATTTCGATTCCTCTCTCGTTTTACCAAGTCGTGAGGTAAATATAACTTAGTAAGACAGACCATAACTCATAATGCACTCCACACCAACCTACCCCCACCCCCACCAAACGACAGACCTCAGGAACAGAGGTGAAGAAAAATATTAAAACAGGAAAAACTCATTTGAAAAAACTAAACAAAAGCTAAATGTTCTTTACAAACAAATCTAAGGGCACTTCTAGCGTCTAGCTTGAGGCTGCTTCTCTAAAGCTTGTGTCTGTCAGCACCAGAGGTAGGAGGTGAGAACACCAAACTCTCGAACAATGATATTCCTCCATGGCAGTGGAAATCTCTCCGAAACACAAAAAGGGATTTCAAAACCTTAGAAAAATAACATCGCTGATCGAGCGTTTGGACATCGCATGAAAATGATGAACATGTAGACTAGTGGACATAGTGACGGTCACTCACTGCTCTCATCATCCTCAAAGTCGTAGCGTGCGTAACTGTTGTGGTCAGCTGTACGTAGGGTACGGAGCCAGGGGAAGTCTGTGATCATGGAGTAGGGGACTTCATCTACCACTCCTACAGACAGAACAGAGACAGAGAGAAACACAGAGAGAGGAGACAGAGACAGACAGAGACTCAGAGAGCGAGAGAGACAGAGCGAGAGAGCGAGAGAGCGAGCGAGAGACAGGATACATCAGAACAGGGCAGAGCAGCAGCTGCCACACCAAGGGGACAAGTGAATGAACTATTGAGAAAAACTGATGAAACAATGTAGGACTTGCATCATGAAAACTAGAGGGTACAATAAATGGAGCTTGGAAAATCCCACTACGCAGCATCGTGGCTCTACGGGAGGACGCAGCATCGTGGCTCTACGGGAGGACGCAGCATCGTGACTCTACGGGAGGACGCAGCATCGTGACGCTACGGGAGGACGCAGCATCGTGACGCTACGGGAGGACGCAGCATCGTGACGCTACGGGAGGACGCAGCATCGTGACGCTACGGGAGGACGCAGCATCGTGACGCTACGGGAGGACGCAGCATCGTGACTCTACGGGAGGACGCAGCATCGTGACTCTACGGAGGACGCAGCATCGTGACGCTACGGGAGGACGCAGCATCGTGACGCTACGGGAGGACGCAGCATCGTGACGCTACGGGAGGACGCAGCATCGTGACGCTACGGGAGGACGCAGCATCGTGACTCTACGGGAGGACGCAGCATCGTGACTCTACGGGAGGACGCAGCATCGTGACTCTACGGGAGGACGCAGCATCGTGACTCTACGGGAGGACGCAGCATCGTGACTCTACGGAGGACGCAGCATCGTGATTCTACAGGAGGACGCAGCATCGTGACTCTACGGAGGACGCAGCATCGTGACTCTACGGGAGGACGCAGCTCTGCTGTGAAGAGACCCAATCTCAGTCTCAGAGGGCTGAACAGGACTTCCTCCATCTCACCCTCCAAGGTAAAGATGTCTCGGCCCCAGGGGTAGTTGGGATACTTCTTGACATCCTCTTCCGTCCGCGTGGCTTCCGGGTAAAACTCATACTTGATGAGCTCCCTGTTGATTAAATGAAATTGGTTGTTTATGTTGGGTTTTTAGATGGAGGAAGGAAGGAACTGGGCACTGGTTCTTGACCACCATGTCAACAGTACAGTACAATATGGCTGATTGAGGTCAGAAGGGAATCAGCAGCGCCACCTGCTGGCTGTAGTTATAATGACACCAGGGCCATGATAAAGACGGCCATCTACTGGAGGAAACAGACGGGCAGCAACCCACTAAATATCAGGGGTTGGAACCAGTTCAGGCAACAGAACAGAAAACCGGGAAATAACAAAAAAAAAATTGGGAACAGAACCAGAACCGAGAACGAAAGTGATCTATACTGTTCCGGAACATAACCATTATTTTAAAAGCATGGGAACCAGTTAATAGTGAAAAGTAGTGAAAAGTGATTTGACGTTCTGGGCATTTCTTTCTAGTCCCACAAAAAAACGCTACAAAGTGGCTATGCAAGGCACTCATGGTCACTCAGAAACGTTATTCCATTGACTGCCTGCCTGCTGAAAATCTTTGCCAGTGTGTTTGTGTAGGCTAACTGCCCTCCCCCCGAAGCATAGTCTACTGTAGCTACTGACATTACAGGCGTGATTCAGAAATTAGGTAGATTTATTTTTTATTAGAGAACAATGGATTCACTTTTTCAATGCTAGTGTCGTAGTAAATATATTTGTTATAGTCAATATGGAATATGATATGTTGAGTAAAATGTTGTGCTAAGATCTATTTAGGTCAGGAGCTGGTTATAAGTTCTGTTCCTATCCAATAACAATGGACAAAAGGGTCCTATCTTGTCAGCCTTGTCAGCAGGTGGCCAAGGACAACACCCACGCCATAGGCCTCTCAGTTCTTCCAACTCACGAGTTCTTGCTCTGAGGACACACACACACACACACACACACATCATCACTGATAACACACACACACACACACACACATCATCACTGATAACACACACACACACACACACACACACACACACACACACATCATCACTGTTAAACACACACACACACACACACACACACACACACACACACACACACACACACACACACACACATCATCACTGTTAAACACACACACACACACACAAAATCCCCTCCTTTAGGCTGAACATTTGAAGACAGAGAACCCGACTCAGAGCCAATGCAACAGTGACACTAGCCTGGAGGGGACCTCGCCCAACTCATCAGGACCAATCAGAAGATCAGAACTACTAGATTCAACCTACTTCATTTATTGCATAAAATGTCTGCACACAATGCTCTCTTCAGATAACTCCCTACGAGTTTGACGAACGAGTCCGTGCACGCTATTCCAGATATCTTTACCTCTGAATAAACTGCCTTATATTATACCATTATCCACCCTGTCCAAAGTCTCTACTTGGTCTCAGTTCTCCAGTAAACTTGTGATCATCAACACTAGTTAAGTATACTCTAGTTATGACACGTCACATTGGATTTATTAATTTAAAAAATATGTGTTTTTATTTTTATTCTGATGCTGCTTTGGACACACAAGCTTGTTAGCTAGCTAGCTTGTTAGCTAGCTCTGGTCTAGCTCTCTAAAACTCTAGGCAGCATTATGTGTAATGTAATCGAATTGAGAGTCATGATCAAGGGCTAGCTCTGGTCCAATGTTAGTTAAGCCAACTCTCTGAAGTTCAAATACATTCAAAGTTCCTCCATAGAAACTGCTCCTCCGTAGGTATAATTCTGTGGGCCTAATTCAGGTAATGCATGTCATAACAACAAGATGCCCAGCGCTTCATGCCCAGCGCTCTCCTCACCCGCAAAATATCAGTAAACTCTCCTTCCAGACTCACATCAAGCATCTCCAATCAAAAGTTAGATCTAGAATCGGCTTCCTATTTCGCAACAAAGCCTCCTTCACTAATTCTGCCAAACATGCCCTCCTAAAACGGACTATCCTACCGATCCTTGACTTTGGCGATGTCATTTACAAAATAGCCTCCAACACTCTACTCAGCAAATTGGATGTAGTCTATCACAGTGCCATCCGTTTTGTCACCAAAGCCCCATATACTACCCACCATTGTAACCTGTACGCTCTTGTTGGCTGGCCCTCACTACATATTCGTCGCCAAACCCACAGGCTCCAGGTCATCTATAAATCACTGCTAGGCAAATCCCCGTTTTATCTTAGCTCATTGGTCACCATAGCAACACCCACCCGTAGTATGCGCTCTAGGAGGTATATCTCACTGGTCATTCCCAAAGCCAACACCTCCTTTGGCCGCCATTCCTTCCAGTTCTCTGCTGCCAATGACTGGAACGAACTGCAAAAATCTCTGAAGCTGGAGACTCTTATCTCCCTCACTAACTTTAAGCGTCAGTTGTCAGAGCAGCTTACCGATCACTGCACCTGTACACAGCCATTCTGAAATTAGCCCACCCAACTACCTCATCCCCATATTGTTATTTATTTTGCACCCCAGTATCTCTATTTGCACATCATCTTTTGCACATCTATCATTCCAGTGTTAATACGAAATTGTAACTATTTTGCACTATGGCCTATTTATTGCCTTACCTCCATAACTTACTACATTCGCACACTGTATATATATTTTCTGTTGTATTTTTGACTTTATGCTTTGTTTACCCCATATGTAACTCTGTGTTGTTGTTTTTATCGCACTGCTTTGCTTTATCTTGGCCAGGTCGCAGTTGTAAATGAGAACTTGTTCTCAACTGGCTTACCTGGTTAAATAAAGGTGAAAATAAATAAATAAATAAAAATCAGTCGCATGTCGCACCCTACACAAAATGCACATAGCTTGCCCGCTCCATAGCAAGCTGCTCTACACATTCAATGTCTTCAATGTCGAGCTAAATGTAAAAAAAAAAAAAAAAAAATGATTTCAGAGGTTAAAAAAGGAACAGAACCATATAAACCATCACTTTTTTTTTCTCAGAACAGGTTCCAATAAAAACATTTGTGGATTCAGCTATTTCAGACACAGCCGTTGCTGACAGGTGTATAAAATCGAGCACACAGCCATGCAATCTCCATAGACAAACAAGTCAGGAAGAGCTTCCCTGGTCAACTGTAAGTGCTGTTATTGTGAAGAGGAAATTCATAGTGCCAACTCTACAGTTTGGTGGAGGAGGAATAATGGTCTAGGGCTGTTTTTCCATGGTTTGGCTAGGCCCCGTAGTTCCAGTGAAGGGAAATCTTAACGCTACAGCATACAATGACATTCTAGACGATTCAGTGCTTCCAACTTTCTGGCAACAGTTTGGGGAAGGCCTGTGCCTGTTTCAGCATGACAATACCCCCGTGCACAAAGCGAGGTCTATTAAGAAATGGTTTGTTGAGATCGGTGTGGAAGAACGTGACTGGCCTGCACAGAGCCCTGACCTCAACCCCATCGAACACCTTTGGGATGAATTGGAACGCCAACTGCGAGCCAGGCCTAATTGCCCAAAATCAGTGCCCAACCTCACTAATACTTGTGGCTGAATGGAAGCAAGTCCCCGCAGCAATGTTCCAACATCTAGTGGAAAGCCTTCCCAGAAGAGTGGAGGTTGTTATAGCAGCAAAGGGGGGACCAACTCCATATTAATGCCCATGATTTTGGAATGAGATGTTCGACGAGCAGGAGTCCACATACTTTTAGTCATGTAGTGTACGTCTATTTAACAGAGGATCTTTCAGATGAAAGTAATGTTACTAGATAGCAGTATGTGTGACACACTGGCTGATGTTGGCGATGGTGTCCATCCAGCTGCATACTCTGACCTTGTTCCTGACGTTGGGGGGGTTGCTGAACTCATGTATGATGGCGATGTGGTATGGGTACGGCCCACGGAACAGCTTCCTGTCCAGGGCCAGAGAGTCAATCTAGGACAGGGGACAAGGAGATGGTCAGAGTAAGACTAGGTTTACAAACCATATCATGCACAAAGGGGACAATGTGCTTTATGGAGAAACCCTGGTCACATTTCCTCTGCAAATCATGTTTAATGTGCAGACAGATTTAATTGAGATTATACACATATTTGACATAGGTTACAATCCAATTTTATTAGTTGGGAGCTATGGACTATACAAGGTTTCAGACGGAGTTCCAGACAGTGGTCCTGACCTGCTGCATGGGGCGCATGTAGATGATGCGGTTCCTCTCAGGGGGCATGCAGAGGATCTGATCCAGGACTTGCTCCATGTCCAGCTTCTTATACTGGGCGTAGTTGAAACGGTTCACTATGGGAGCACTTTCCACCTTCAGATGCTTCAGCGCGTGGCTAGAGGGACACACAGCGGGCGACAGCAGAGGGTTAATGTTCATCACAAATGGCACCCTACTCCCTATATACAGTGAGGGAAAAAAGTATTTGATCCCCTGCTGATTTTGTAAGTTTGCCCACTGACAAATACATGATCAGTCTATAATTTTAATGGTAGGTTTATTTGAACAGTGAGAGACAGAATAACAACAAAAAAATCCAGAAAAATGCATGTCAAAAATTAAAATTAAAATGCTAAATTGATTTGCATTTTAATGAGGGAAATAAGTATTTGACCCCTCTGCAAAACATGACTTAGTACTTGGTGGCAAAACCCTTGATGGCAATCACAGAGGTCAGACGTTTCTTGTAGTTGGCCACCAGGTTTGCACACATCTCAGGAGGGATTTTGTCCCACTCCTCTTTGCAGATCTTCTCCACGTCATTAAGGTTTCGAGGCTGACGTTTGGCAACTCGAACCTTCAGCTCCCTCCACAGATTTTCTATGGGATTAATGTCTGGAGACTGGCTAGGCCACTCCAGGACCTTAATATGCTTCTTCTTGAGCCACTCCTTTGTTGCCTTGGCCGTGTGTTTTGGGTCATTGCCATGCTGGAATACCCATCCACGACCCATTTTCAATGCCCTGGCTGAGGGAAGGAGGTTTTCACCCAAGATTTGACGGTACATGGCCCCGTCCATCGTCCCTTTGATGCGGTGAAGTTGTCCTGTCCCCTTACAAGAAAAACACCCCCAAAGCATAATGTTTCCACCTCCATGTTTGACGGTGGGGATGGTGTTCTTGGGGTCATAGGCAGCATTCCTCCTCCTTCAAACACGGCGAGTTGAGTTGATGGCAAAGAGCTCGATTTTGGTCTCATCTGACCACAACACTTTCACCCAGTTCTCCTCTGAATCATTCAGATGTTCATTGGCAAACTTCAGACGGGCCTGTATATGTGCTTTCTTGAGCAGGGGGACCTTGCGGGCACTGCAGGATTTCAGTCCTTCACGGCGTAGTGTGTTACCAATTGTTTTCTTGGTGACTATGGTCCCAGCTGCCTTGAGATAATTGACAAGATCCTCCCGTGTAGTTCTGGGCTGATTCCTCACTGTTCTCATGATCATTGCAATTCCACGAGGTGAGATCTTGCATGGAGCCCCAGGCCGAGGGAGATTGACAGTTATTTTGTGTTTCTTCCATTTGCGAATAATCGCACCAACTGTTGTCACCTTCTCACCAAGCTGCTTGGCGATGGTCTTGTAGCCCATTCCAGCCTTGTGTAGATCTACTATCTTGTCCCTGACATCCTTGGAGAGCTCTTTGGTCTTGGCCATGGTGGAGAGTTTGGAATCTGATTGATTGATTGCTTCTGTGGACAGGTGTCTTTTATACAGGTAACAAACTGAGATTAGGAGCACTCCCTTTAAGATTGTGCTCATAATCTCAGCTCGTTACCTGTATAAAAGACACCTAGGAGCCAGAAATCCTTCTGATTGAGAGGGGGTCAAATACGTATTTCTCTCATTAAAATGCAAATCATTTTCTTAAATTTTTGACATGTGTTTTTCTGGATTTTGTTGTTGTTATTCTGTCTCTCACTGTTCAAATAAACCGACCATTAAAATGATAGACTGATCATGTCTTTGTCAGTGGGCAAACGTACAAAATCAGCAGGGGATCAAATACTTTTTTCCCTCACTGTAGGGCACTACTTTTGACCAGGGCCCACATGCATCCCAAATGGCACCCTATTCTCTATATAGTGCACTACTTTTCAAAAGTAGGGTGTCATTTGGGAGTCAACATTAGTATGAGAGAATGGCCCACTAATTCCGTTCCTTATCAAGCCCTGATTATACATAGAAGGGAAACCTACCATGAACAAACATCATCTTGGGGCAGTCCTTCAGCACCAGGTCAGTGATGCCACAGTTAGTGAGGGTGATTCCCACCAGGTTTTTGGATTTCAGCGTCAGCACCTGGATGGCATTGGAAGGGATTGTGTCACGGGGTGCTGCAGTTAGGAGTTCATGTCCTTCATTTGACCATGAAGTTCTATGCTGCTTTGCTCAAGTAGTGCACTACATAGGAAATAGGGTGCCAATTGGGACGCAAGCTACAGACTCATCCCACTAGGTGTAGAGTCCCTACCTGTACATGATCGTCCTCAGTGACCGTGTCGCTGGTGCTTGTGGACTTGTCTGCTGTGCGTTTCCTATTCACCGTGACCTGAGGCTTGGGCTTGGACAGCTCTGCATGAGAAAAAACAACAGAAGCTCTATGAGGAACTCACATTTTCCACAGGCTTCCTCCTGCACTATTAAAGACACACACACACACTCAACTACATCAACGTTTATTCGGCTTACAATATTGAATACAATTTGATGACATGGATTTCAACTGATTAGTGTTACAAGTGTTCCATGCTCTGACAGAGAGTGATCTCTTATCTCCAGTCTTACCGGACTCAGACACCAGGGGTACAGATGACAGTCTGCTGCGGGCGCGGGTGACAGGTCTACTGGGGAAGCCGTCCCTTAACCCCCTGGGCTGGAGCTCTGCGCCGTTGACCTCCCTGGAGCTCTGGCCAGACGTCTTCTCACCACCATGCCCCTCAGCCATACCCCAACAGGGTCCCCGGCCTCCAGCCCCTCTGCTCCTGCTCTCTCCCCCAGATCCTGCCTCCTCTCTGGGGTCCTGTCCCCTCCTCCTGACCCTCCAGAGGCTGGGTGGTTAGGCCCACCTCGAGTCCGTCCCTCTGGGCCGGGGCGAGCCCTACTGCAGGTGCAGCGAGTCCTGACCGTCCCCTCGTCTCCCACCTCCCCTGCCTTTGAGCGTGGCATTATCGTTGATGCCAGTATCTCAGAAACGGCCGCCCACGCTTTTCACGCACGACAGCGTCTAGGGTTTACCGACAATGGTGCAACAAACAAAAACCATCCAGTCAGCGGCAGTCCTGTGGGCGAAAACAGCTCATTGAGAGGTGTTAGGAGAATGGCAAGAATCGTGCAAGCTAACAGGCGGCCCACAAACAGACCAAAAATGGCAGTGGTGTGCAGAATGGCATCTCATCGGTCCTTGTCACGGATGGGCTATTGCAGCAGACGACCACACCGGGTTCCACTCCTATCAGCTAAAAACAAGAAGAAGCGGCTCCAGTGGGCACGCCATCACCAACACTGTACAATTGAGGAGTGGGAAAACATCACCTGGTCCGACGAATCCCAGTTCCTGTTGAGTCATGCTGTTGGCAGTCAGGATTTGGCGTCAGAAGCACGAGTCCATGGACCCATCCTGCCTGGTGCAGGCTGGTGGCGGTGGTGTAGGGAAGGTGTTCTTGGCACACCATTAGGTCCCTTGATACCAATTGAGCAACGAACATTTCCGACACCTTGTAGAATCCACGCCCTGAAGAATTCAGGCTGTTATGGCGGCAAAGGGGGGTTCGACCCGGTATTAGATGGGTGTACCTAATAAACTGTCCGGTGAGTGTATAGGCCTACGCATATGCATAAGCTCTAGTATGCGTATGAGTGTTATACATGCAATATCTTAAACGCTTTGAAATAATCATCATCTTTGAAAGGCGCTGTCCATTTCGTTGAGTTTGGCTTTAAAACATCCAAACCAACCATGTTTTCCCCTCAGTTTCAACCTGTTGTTGAACTTCTTTCTTCAAATTGATCATCACAGTGAGGTCGAAAAATGTAGCCTAATGGTGAGTTTTAAAAGCATGATACTGTTTTGATGATGTGTTTGATGTGATTTTCGATTGCGTTTGCATTGATGTCAGAGTGGTTAGAGGGCCAATAGAGCACGGCATACCAGGCCATTAGTGACCTGACGGTCGTTAGCGAGTTGGGTAAGCATACTACCAACGCATGTCCAGAGTGCTTAAGGGGAGATTACCATGACCCAACGGTCACGTGGGATTTTAATGTGGTCATGACTGACGGTTTTCCGGTGATACGGTCACCACAACAGCTATACTCACTACCGTGTGTGGCTGTCTCCTTAGCAGTGGCAGTCTTGCCAGTGGGCTGTGGTGGTTCAGGAGGATAGGTGGTGTGTTGCTGCTGGGGCCGGACAGGAGCCTGGGGTCTGGCAGGGCCCTCTCCACTATCCGAGTCAGACATCACCACTGGAGGCTTCTTCACCACACACTGAACACCACTGGGACCTACGGGGGAAAGAAAGAAAGAAAGAAAGAAAGAAAGAAAGAAAGAAAGAAAGAAAGAAAGAAAGAAAGAAAGAAAGAAAGAAAGAAAGAAAGAAAGAAAGAAAGAAAGAAAGAAAGAATAGAGAGACATAAAAATGAGAAAAGTCCCTTTTCTGTTATGGAGTTAGTTCTGTCCAGACCTTCTTGTTCCCCGTCAGGCCGAGGGTTGGCAGGCTGACTAGGCCCAGGGGGTTCTTCCTCCTCAGCAGGCTGACTGGGACCAGGACCAGGGGGTTCTTCCATCTCAACAGGCTGACTGGGACACAGGACCAGGGGGTTCGTCCTACTCAGCAGGCCTAGGACTGCGGGACCAGGACCAGGGGGGTTCTTCCTACTAAGCAGGCTGTCTGGGACCAGGGACCCAGGGGGTTCTTCCTCCTCAGCAGGCTGACTGGGACCAGGAGGTTCTTCCTCCTCAGCAGGCTGACTGGTACCAGGACCAGGGGGTTCTTCCTCCTCAGCAGGCTGACTGGGACCAGGAGGTTCTTCCTCCTCAGCAGGCTGACTGGGACCAGGGGGTTCTTCCTACTCAGCAGGCTGACTGGGACCAGGAGGTTCTTCCTCCTCAGCAGGCTGACTGGGACCAGGGGGTTCTTCCTACTCAGCAGGCTGACTGGGACCAGGAGGTTCTTCCTCCTCAGCAGGCTGACTGGGACCAGGAGGTTCTTCCTACTCAGCAGGCTGACTGGGACCAGGACCAGGGGGTTCTTCCTACTCAGCAGGCTGACTGGGACCAGGACCAGGGGGTTCTTCCATCTCAGCAGGCTGACTGGGACCAGAACCAGGGGGTTCTTCCTACTCAGCAGGCTGACTGGGACCAGGACCAGGGAGATAAACTCCAGGCTTGGCCGTGGACTAACCTTGGGTGGTTCTCTGAACATCTGGTCCAGGGAGATGAACTCCAGGCTGGGAAGCAGCTCAATGAACTGGCTGAACGACTCCAGCTTGATGGCATGGCAACGCACCAGAGTCAGGTCCACCAGGCGACTCCACCGCGAGTGGTCTGATGACACAACACACAAAAACGCAGCTACCTCAGTGTCCACTAAGCTCTCAATGTTCATGAACCAGCCCTAGTTACTGAAGTTAAACTATACATGATATGTTACATCAATGCTAATAAAGCATACTGCTTTAGGCAAAAGGTCCTAAAAAAAGGTCCTAGAAAACGCCAACAGATGATTTGGTCCATACCTGTAATCCAGTTCTGTGGGTTATGGAGGTGGGGGCAGTTGTATATGACCAGGTACTTGATGGAGGAGAACACCTCGTTGACAGCCTTCATCCTGATGTCTGTGATGACCCCTGGGTTCTCAATGACATCAGCCAGGCCATACTTCACTAGCTCAGTGACTCATTTTACCTGACCAGGAGAACACATCAATCAATACATCGTATGTCATAGCATAACCATAGCCTACTGTTAAAGGTGGTTCTATTTTGGAGCATCATCCTCCTCACATATTTTTGTTACTTTATTCAGAGTTTCAGCAAGTAGATTATGGGGTACAGTTGTAGGGGTTTCTCTAGAGATAAATCAGATCATGCCCATACTGTGCGAGGTAATAGGGAGTTGTAGTTTAACAATAGTTTAACGCAGAAAACATGATAATTAACTACAATGACCATAATCCATTGTGCGGCTACTTGTCGAGGTCTGTGTTTCTTTTACGCCTGCTACGCTAGAGACAGAAGAATGCACGAACAAGAGGGGATACATAGAGAGCAGTTGCTTCGTGAGGCATCTCTACCTGAAAATACATGATCTAAGACTTCTAAGTGATTGATAGTTGGTATTCAGCAGTCATAAATATATGCCTTATTTACTTTGAAGAAATACTAAAATAGTGATTTTGTCAGACAGCATAGGCAGCAGCTCTATAGAGATGAGATGATGACTTGGAATGAAATAATAGAGTCATCAAATAAAACAAATGTAATACACACAACTGAAATATTTTATTAAAGCGGACAATCAGCAGTAAAAACAACAAACTTCCCCGCCCCTGTTTTGGTAAACAGCTGAGGGATGGGGCTGGAGAAATGTAACCTCTCAGTCAAAGACAGAGCTAAGGAAGCAAGGACTGACCATCCATGATATCAAAACTATAGTTTTAACCATGTTGAGGCTATATAGTGTTTGTTTACATTTTCTTTGTTTACAAACATTGGAGTAAAACAAGCTTATATTTTGGGTTCTGATGAGGTATGACAGTTGAACTAAGCTCATGAGGCATTTATAGTTATATACTTCAAGAATCAATGGGTATATATCATTTATTTATTAGTCAGAAAATGAAAGTAGCAACTGCTGATTACTTTACTTTAAAGGGGCAATGTGAATAACTGATGGTTTATACGTGATAAGCAGTCATGGGCAGTCACCACCATCATGGGACTTTTATTATTTGTGTTATTCTGTGTTGTTACAGCATTCAACCCACATAATGCACAGTGCATTTAATGTTTAAAAAATATAATCGAAACCTAAATCGTGATATATATATATATTTTTTATCAAATAGAAACCGACCTCAAAAAGCACTAATCGCTCAGCAATAGTAACTATACATTATAACATCTTTGACCTTGACTGACTCACACTGCAATAGGAACTCATCAACGTTTCCGAGGTGCAAAGTCTCAAACTGGGGGAAGTCCAGTTCAGCCATCTTCAGTGCAGAGAACACCCCATCTTTGGTTAGGGAAGGCTGGATTCCAACCTCATGAAATCTAGAGGAAAACCCAAAGCACTCGCTAAATCTCCCCATTCATCATGTTTATCTAGCATTGTGAAGCATAAACAAAATAAACACGTTCATACACACAGAAAGCCGGGACTCCACAGATCCTGAGGAGGTCTTATTTGTCTGCCTGTGACCTACCGTTAATGATCACCAGCCCTGAGAGTCAAAATGTTTATTTCACACAACGTTTTCACCAAACATCTTACAAGGTAAGCTTAAATCTGTTCTGTGTTTGAGCTATAGCTACATGGGGGGGTATCAAATTAATCCTTAGGTTGGTAGGAACAAATCTAGCCTATTGCCAATGTTATCTGATGATGTATGACTTAATGGCAACATCGAATGTCCACCAAGTGACTATATCTTTCCGCATCAAAAATATGATGTTGCCTGCTTATCCCTTGTATGTCCCCCGACACCACCGCAATGTTTGAGGGAGGTTGGTGTTGTAGAAATTTCGTTTTTATAGTGAACATCCAGTGTGCAAAAACAGTGCAATTACCACATCCGGACACTTTGGAGAGGTCGAAAGGACACTTAACTGTACCCTGGATACCCCATAACACCACCACAATATTTTAGTGGTGGCACCTTAATTGGGGAGGACGGGCTCGTGTTAATGACTGGAGTGGAATAGGTGGAATAGTATCAAATACAACAAACACATGGTTTGATGCCATTCCATTCACTCCGTTCCTGCCATTATTATGAGCTGTCCTCCCCTCAGCAGCCTCCACTGATGCCTTTCATTAAACAGCAGAAAACTAATAATTCAGTTTACATTCATACTGGTTATAGACTATGTGGATATCGTCTATATGAATGCAGCTGCCACTGTATTGAAGCCATTGGTCACAGTTTATCATAGTGCACTACGCTTTATTACGGGTGATAGGTTCCTTACACATCACTGCATTCTGTATCAGAAAGTCGGTTGGCCCGCTCTGAAGTCTCATAGATCGATGCATTGCACTATTTTTGTTTATATATTTTTGTTTATAAAGCCCTCTTACACAAACCTCCACCATACCTTACTTCATTGTTAACCTACAGACGTACGAGCTACCAGACCCAGTCTCAGGGACGGCTAACTCTGGAGATCCCTTCGATCTCCACTGAGTTAGGTAAATCTGCTTTTTTTTTATTATTTTTTTTATGTGCACCTTACTTGTGGAATAATCTTAAAAACTCTCTTAAATTTGATATTTTGGTGCCTGTAGGGCAATTCAGGCGGCTAATTGACCTTCTTACTGAGGTGTTTGTTTTCTATGATTGTGTTTTGTAGTGTTGTGACGATACCAGAATTTCTACTTCAATACCAGGTTTAGTGTCACGATACCATCACAATACCACGCCAAAAAAAAGAATGCATATTAGCCAAAGTCACAGAATGGCACTTGATCCAGGCAGATAAACTCAGCTACAGCTGAGTTCAATATCATTACATTAGAATGTATTTACGTCAACAATTTTCAGAGACAGCCATGTATGCATTAATGAATTAAATTATACAATCCTACAATTAATGACAGTTTCTTTACCAATCTAACTACTTAACGGTAATAATTTAATTGAATGGTAAATCTCTATTGATAAACTGGGCAAATCAAGATGTAGCCTATTCACAATTCAGGTGAATGCATATTCAATAGGAGTGTGTGCATGCATTGAGTTATTGAGCTTGTTTTGGCTGATTTTAGATGTAAATCTGTTTCCCTTCCATTTGGGACTTATTTTTTGTACTGATAAACATCATTTGCATAGAAGTAGCTTATTTAAAAAAAGTGTTTGCTGTCTCTAACCAGTAATAAGGTCATTTATGAGGCAAGAGGGGGGCGGCCCGTCAGAGCCCTACACACACACTTTCAGTTCGCTGACGCAATAGATAACCTTTGGGAGAGAGGTGAGAGAGACAGATTAAGTGAATTAATACAGTTTGTGTCAATCATCTTTGAAATAGCCTGTATGAACATTGCAAACAGTAAATAACAGTTTCAACATTTCTACATGCCGTGTTGCATTATTCAAGTGTGTTAACTTCTGTGTAGCTCAGTTGGTAGAGCATGGCGCTTGCAACGCCAGGGTTGTGGGTTCGATTCCCACGGGGGACCAGTATGAAAAAATGTATGCACTCACTAACTGTAAGTCGCTCTGGATAAGAGCGTCTGCTAAATGCCTAAAATGTAAAAAAAATGTAAAATGTGCAGTATGAGTGGGGAGCTAATATGATGCTGCCCAGTCTCCCAGTGCAGGCTAAGTGGAGCAGGAACGGTGCGCTCGCGCTATAAGAGGGACATCGGCTGTGCTGATATACTTGATCCGTGAGACACATTTGACAAGTACCGAAAGCAACAAAAATTAGTGTTTTTCACGTTCTAGTATCAAAACAGTACCGAAGTTTCAGTATACTGTGCAACACTGATGTGTATATGTTTGTAGTTACAGGGCTCCTATGAAACAGAGATCTTGGTCTCAGGATGACTGTCAAAATAAAGGTTAAACAAAAAATACATTTTGGGGGGGGGGGGGGGGGGGGGGGGGGGGGGGGGTGGGGGGTCTCATCACTGCAACTGAAAATGAAAACGTATGCACTCACAAACTGTAAGTCGCTCTGGATAAGAGCGTCTGCTAAATGACTAAAATGTAACTCCACAGTGGGCTCGGGAGGCGAAGGTCGAGTGCATCCTCCGAAACATGACCCGCCAAACCGTGCTTCTTAACACCCGCCCGCTTAACCCGGAAGCCAGCCGCACCAATGTCTCGGAGGAAACACCGTTCAATTGATGACCGAGGTCAGCCTGCAGGCGCCAGGCCCGCAACAAGGAGTCGCTAGAACACGATGAGCCAAGTAAAGCTCCCCTGGCCAAACCCTCCCCTAACCCGGACGACGCTGGGACAATTGTATGCCACCCCATGGGACTCCCGATCAAGGCCGGTTGTGACACAGCCTGGGATCGAACCCGGGTCTGCTCCGTGTAGCTCAGTTGGTAGAGCATGGCGCTTGCAACGCCAGGGTTGTGGGTTCGATTCCCACGGGGGGCCAGTATGATTTTTTTTTAAATGTATGTACTCACTAACTGTAAGTCGCTCTGGATAAGAGCGTCTGCTAAATGACTAAAATGTAAAAAAGTATTTAATCCCCTGCTGATTTTGTACGTTTGCCCACTGACAAAGAAATGATCAGTCTATAACTTTTAATGGTAGGTTTATTTGAACAGTGAGAGACAGAATAACAACAACAAAATCCAGAAAAACGCATGTCACAAATGTTAAATTGATTTGCATTTTAATGAAGGAAATAAGTATTTGACCACCTCTCAATCTGAATGATTTCAGGCTCCCAGGTGTCTTTTATACAGGTAGCGAGCTGAGATTAGGAGCACACTCTTAAACGGAGTGCTCCTAATCTCAGCGTGTTACCTGTATAAAAGACACCTGTCCACAGATGCAATCAATCAATCAATCAGATTCCAAACTCTCCACCATGGCCAAGACCAAAGAGCTCTCCAAGGATGTCAGGGACAAGATTGTAGACCTACACAAGGCTGGAATGGGCTACAAGACCATTGCCAAGCAGCTTGGTGAGAAGGTGACAACAGTTGGTGCGATTATTCGCAAATGGAAGAAACACAAAAGAACTGTCAATCTCCCTTGGCATGGGGCCCCATGCAAGATCTCACCTCGTGGAGTTGCAATGATCATGAGAACGGTGAGGAATCAGCCCAGAACTACACGGGAGGATCTTGTCAATGATCTCAAGGCAGCTGGGACCATAGTCACCAAGAAAACAATTGGTAACATACTACACTGTGAAGGACTGAAATCCTGCAGCGCCCGCAAGGTCCCCCTGCTCAAGAAAGCACATATACAGGGCCATCTGAAGTTTGCCAATGAACATCTGAATGATTCAGAGGAGAACTGGGTGAAAGCATTGTGGTCAGATGAGACCAAGATCGAGCTCTTTGGCATCAACTCAACTCTCCGTGTTTGGAGGAGGAGGAATGCTGCCTATGACCCCAAGAACACCATCCCCACTGTCAAACATGGAGGTGGAAACATTATGCTTTGGGGGTGTTTTTCTGCTAACGGGACAGGACAACTTCATCGCATCAAAGGGACGATGGACGGGGCCATGTACCGTCAAATCTTGGGTGAGAACCTCCTTTCCTCAGCCAGGGCATTGAAAATGGGTCGTGGATGGGTATTCCAGCATGACAATGACCCAAAACACACGGCCAAGGCAACAAAGGAGTGGCTCAAGAAGAAGCACATTAAGGTCCTGGAGTGGCCTAGCCAGTCTCCAGACCTTAATCCCATAGAAAATCTGTGGAGGGATCTGAAGGTTCGAGTTGCCAAACGTCAGCCTCGAAACCTTAATGTCTTGGAGAAGATCTGCAAAGAGGAGTGGAACAAAATCCCTCCTGAGATGTGTGCAAACCTGGTGGCCAACTACAAGAAACGTCTGACCTCTGTGATTGCCAACAAGGGTTTTGCCACCAAGTACTAAGTCGTGTTTTGCAGAGGGGTCAAATACTTATTTCCCTCATTAAAATGCAAATCAATTCATAACATTTCTGACATGTGTTTTTCTGGATTTTTTTGTTGTTATTCTGTCTCTCACTGTTCAAATAAACCTACCATTACAATTCTAGACTGATCTTGTCTTTGTCAGTGGGCAAATGTACAAAATCAGCAGGGGATCAAATACTTTTTTCCCTCACTGTAAATGTCTGTAGTGACGTCTCTAGCACTGCCTTAGACCGCAGCGCCACTCGGGAAGCCCTAAAAAATACATTTAAAAAAGGGAGGAAACACTCACAGCTACCCTATCATCTCAGATAGAACAATGAGCCAGATATTTCACTGGATGTATAAATGTGAAGCATCCGGTTAGCGTTTCCACTCACTACCAAATATGGTAATGAGAGGAAGCCCAGTGGACGGCAGTGGGAGAAGATGGATTTTGGCCGACATTCTGCTAATTTTCTAATCGATTAAACATTCAATCTCCATACAGTTTACTGTTTCCAAAACTAGAATCTGTAACAAACAAGAGTGGACTGCGTTTTGTAAACTTGTAAACTAGCCTTTGCCAAAGTTTCAAAAAATGGCCGTTGTTTAGGAGTGCAAGGGCGAATTGAGTTTTTGCGCACTTCACAGAGTAGGCAATCCTTAATGGAAATATGCAAATAAAATGCTTGGAAACCACCAATAGAATCACCCTAGCTCGGGCATGGCTCTGCCCACCTCCTTGCTTGTTCTGCCCACTATGATTAATTTGCTCTCATTGGAAATGACAGGCTCTTGGGTTAGTTCTAAACATCTTTGTATCATGGTCATTGTGGTGAAATTGAAAGTTGTAACATCTGGGGCCTTCCTGCAGGGGGGCGGCGGATGGGGTCTTCCTGTGCCATACATCTACATTATTTTAAAAATGCAGTGGCGGCCACAATGTAGCAGCGGTGTTGCGCTGCTGCTAAATGCATATAGGGGAAACACTGTATAGGGAATAGGGTGCCATTTGGGGGACACCCCAATTTAATTCTGCTCTTTGACTTTCACTGACCGGAATATGTGTCAGAGGACCTCATGGTAGAGCTCATTGATGTAGTCCTTGGGCTCTTCCAGTCTGTAAGAGTTGGCAGCTCCCCCACCAGCGAGCTGCGTCTTTGTGAACTTTCACCTCGGGCCCATCATGTCCAGGGCAGTGAGATATTCACCCAGAGAAGGCAACAAACTCACTCCCTCCCACTTGGACCCTGTTATTCAGGCATGCACACACACTCACTGATTACCCTTCTGCAAGAGAAGAAAAACAACAAAACAAAGGTCACTCTGGGATAAAGAGGGAGAACTTTGTGAACCATAAGTGAGAGATACTCAATTCCAAGCATTTCTTGAACAAAAAAGTTGTAATAAGTAAACATGACAGTTCACAGACTAGGGACCCGTGCCTGACAAGCGATTTGTCAAGAATTGACTTCTAGCTACTAACATGGTCATATGTCAAACGCTAACTACAAAGCTAGCCACCATGCAAAAATATTTTTACTTAGCTAGCTAACGTTACTTTACATGCTATCTATTGAGGACTCATTGTTTTAACGTTATATATTCAGATCGCGGTCACTGCAGCAATACAATTAGCCAATTAGTAGCTGAGCATGCCAATTAAAATAGACAGCTAGCCAATGCTAATTTAGCAAGATACTGTGTTCATTAGTGTTTCTGCCTAAACTGGAAGCAAAAAAGCCACCAATGCGTCCTCTTTAATGACACAGCATTTTAAGACAATAAATAAAGATATATATCCATATGCAAACGAAAGTGAGACAATGTACATCAATAACAAAGTAATTAACTTTATCGTCGTTAGCAGCACCGGGCCACCACAAATAACAATGACTACCAATTACTAAGTTAGCTTTGTAGCATGCTTTGCTAGATAAGTAGCAATCACATTTCAAGGTAGTGACAATTCATGGGAGGGGTGAGGTCAGTGGCGGTTCTAGACACATTTTACTAGGGGGGCCAAGGAGGGGCCAGTGTTTAATCAGGGGGGCACACATAAAAAAACTGGCAACACATGATATTCAAAGATTATAAACTTTATTTTACTTTAAAATCATATGACATTTATTATAACACGTATTTTGTACAAGAGTGCAGATGCAAGAGAGATAGTGCCATAAAAATGAAAAAATAAAAAAATAAAAATAAAATAAAAAGTACAGGGTACAAATACAGGGTTCATATTCAATGTGAACAAAACTCCAGGATACAACAAAGGGTACAACAATGTGCCATTTCCTATTTATGGAAGCCCCACTACTGTGGACAGTTGATTCCACATTTTGTTTTAAGAAAGAAAACTTTCTGAGTGATTTATAAACAAAACACACTACCCTGTATCCATTTAGGTAAAATAAACCAAATCAGAAAAGAAATTCAATTCAAAGAGGCTTTACTAGCATGACCATATTGACATACAGTATTGCTAAAGCACATAAACAGGGAAACGTGTTACACATTAACATCCAGTAGTCCAATAGGATGCAGACAATAAACATTAAGTTAACATTCGTTTAAAAGCAACAATCATGTCAACACAATGTAGCAATATGAACAACACTGATGGATATCAGCAACAACATGAAAACAAGAATATTACAGGTGTCTGTGTGTGTGTGTGTGTGTGTCTGTGTCTTTGTGTACTTCACTGTCAGTTGATGAGCAGGTGTACAAAAAAAGGCTTTACAACATATATGGGCAAGTCCATTTAGGACAGCACATTTCCACCATAGTTCACATTAGGAAAAAATGACAGCATGAATGCTCACTAAACAAACATATACTACATATACCTTTTTATACACATTTTTTTTCAGTAATTTTTTAAGAGTGAAAGGGAAGTAAGCAATCGCTCATCATAGGATCATACATATTTCAGTTACAATATTAGTTACAATATTAGTGTTAGTTAGATCATCATGTCAAAGCTGGACCTGCAAAGTCTGAACGACACAAGTGTGCAATGATTGGAGTGATTTTTTTTCTTTTTTTTTCTTGCTTTGCTTGTTTTCAAAAGGAAAAATCATAGTTGGTAAAAAATAAAATAAACTTTCGTTGAAAGGTATCACACTGTATAATTTACAAATATCTAAAGAGGTTTAGTGGATGCCATAAAACATCTGTGGAGCTTGAAGATTTGTAGTACATAGATGTTTGGCAGAGATAATTCAAAAGAATAAAATCATAAACTCTATCTAACTTTTTTGTTTGCTGGGGCAAAAAATGACTTTATGTCCCTTCCTCGTTTCATGATAACTATTAGAAGAAGAAAAAACGTAGGGGCATGCATTACATTTTGTTACCTAACCATCCCTCCCTACTTAACACAGGCAGATAACCTGTTGATTACTTTACTAAAAATGTATTTGTTATCGCGATGCAACAGCCAAGACGGATGAAGTTACGTGGTTAACATCACAACATTGTGTAGACCTAGCAAGGATAGCCTACTAACATTTGGATATTTGCTTCTGCTTCGATGAGTTTGCTTAGATATGATTACATTTCTAAACAAATCGAGACCAGACATTTAAAAACTTGATTTGATTTATGTGTGAGGAACAAAAGGAACATGTAGGCTATGTGCAAGAACAACAAGTCACTTATGATATTAAATCGTTTTGCTTACCTTCGACCTTCGGGTGCGCCACTCTAATTTACCCGTGTAGAACGTTGCCGTGTAGAGCGTTGCATTAGTTCCGCTTTTGGCGCTCGCGTGTAAAATAGTTATAAATTCATAATTTTTTATTTGGTCAGAGGTCAGGACAAGTCATGGAGGGGTGAGGTACATTTGATTATTTCTAAATTCAATACAAGTAATCTCGTCTGCTGGCTTGCAAGCAAGTTGACTCTTATTTGAAGCTTCCAATCGCTCAATACAGATGCACTCAGACAGCTAGCTAGCAACATCCCCACCTGACACCCGTGGAAGTAATTTAAAGCCGTTTATGGCAGTGGCAAGCTCTGAAACACTGTTTAGTTATCCGGTGGTTCTGTCTGAACCAACCCTTGTCTGAGGGCTTGGACCGGGCCCCTCTGTCTGTCTCCGGGAGGTCCGATAAACATAGAACATGAGACTGAGATTAATTTCTGAGCTCAAAGATAGTCTATTATATTGACAAGATGATCAAGTGACGACTCTAACAGTGGAAATACATTTCCTCAAAGATGGGGGGAGGCGAGATCTTGTGGGACCATTCTAGCCAATGAGGACAAATAAACGTGTGAACAACAGCCCATGGAGATAAGTAGAGGAATCATATTTGTGTCTGTGCCATTATAGCATCTGTGACAGCATGGCCAGCGCCATTGAGGCAGTCTCAATTTTAAAGTAGTCAATTTTCTTATTTCTTCTTCATTGGCTGATTGCGTCAAACTCATGGGAACCACCACCCAGTTGACTACTTTAAAATGATGGAAACCCTCAATAGCAATATCCATGCTAAAACAGGTTATATACATGTTGAGTCCTCTATCTATCTCTATGATAGGCACAATTCAGATATAATGTCATCTTTTGTCGAAATGCCACGTGTGTCCACTTATATAATTGCATTTGTAAAAACCTAACTATTAGGAAACTTATATTCGATCAAATAAGCCTCGCGTAGCAAATGAGCAATTACATTCTTTGTTGACTAAATTCGACACTCTCATTGACCTCCATACAAATAAAAAAAAACGTATTTTCGGGGACAGATTTTGGGCGGAGTAAAACCTCTCGCTTCGCCTCTACCTCGGCTCGGCTCAACTCAGCTCCTCTTCTTCTTCTTCTTCGATGAGGTTTAACGGCGGTTGGCATCCAATACATGTTGCATTACCGCCACCTACTAGACTGGAGTATAACTCACTTATACTTTGCTTGAATAAAAATAAAATAAAAATAAATACCCTACCATCTAACACCACACTCACAAAAAAATACAAAAATAAGAATAACATAACACCACCCTACTCCACTATTTACATCTATTTAGTCCTACCTCAGGCCTACAACCTGAAAGGATGTGACACCACCACTTAACAAACCCTGTAACTCTTCTGATGTCAAGTCTCGCACACCCAAATACCTCTCTGCAGCTGCCACCACAACCTCAATTTTCTGCGAGTTACATTCCATCCCTGCAGTACAGTTGATAACCATTGCTATAAATGCTAAAAATTCAATCTTACTGAAACATATATCACTTGTTGGCCTATCCCTCTGTACTGGTACAGATCTACTACTCACACCACTCCCCTCAGGATCCCTCCCCCTTGACCCATCTTCCTCTACTTTCTTCACTGCCTCAGCATATGACAACTTCTGCACTACTCTAACCCTGGAAACCTCAACCCGTCTCTCTCGCACGGGACATTTCTGATCCCCAGCCTCGTGGGCACTCCTACAATTAACACATACCACTACTTTCCCCAATGCTACACATTCCTTTGTCTCATGCCCTTCTGCACACTTCTCACACCTAGGAACCTCCCTCCTACACACTGCTGTGTTTGGACCATGACAGTTCGTTGGTGATGTGGACACCAAGGAACTTGAAGCTCTCAACCTGTTCCACTACAGCCCCGTCGATGAGAATAGGGGCGTGCTCAGTCCTCTTTTTTTTCCTGTAGTCCACAATCATCTCCTTTGTCTTGGTCACGTTGAGTGAGAGGTTGTTATCCTGGCACCACACGGCCAGGTATCTGACCTCCTCCCTATAGGCTGTCTCATCGTTGTCGGTGATCAGGCCTACCACTGTTGTGTCATCTGCAAACTTAATGATGGTGTTGGAGTCGTGCCTGGCCATGCAGTCATGGGTGAACAGGGAGTACAGGAGGGGACTGAGCACGCACCCCTGAGGGGCCCCCGTGTTGAGGATCAGCGTGACAGATGTGTTGTTACCTACCCTTACCACCTGGGGGCGGCCCGTCAGGAAGTCCAGGATCCAGTTGCAGAGGGAGGTGTTTAGTCCCAGGATCCTTAGCTTAGTGATGAGCTTTGAGGGCACTATGGTGTTGAATGCTGAGCTGTTTTTTTTATTTATTTTTT